ATTGTCAACACTATTGGATTAAGACATGCCTAAGGGCCTCACAAGATGGCTCACTAGTAGAGGTGTTTGTTGCCAAGCCTTGGGCTTGAATCCACATGGAAGAGAAAATGACACCTGTAGGTTGTCCTCTGACAGATAGATAGATAGATAGATAGATAGATAGATAGATAGATAGATAGATAGATAGGGCATTAGTGAGGCACACTTTTAGGTGTGTCTGTAAGGGAGTTCCCAGGGAAGTTTAACTGAGGAGGGGAAATCCACCATGGATACAGTGGGTAGCAATAACCCATAGGCTGGGATTCCAGAGTGAATAAAAGTGAAAATAAAAAGTAAAGTCAGGCTTGAGAAGATGGTTCTCTTAGCAAACAGTTTGCCTTGCACGGATGAGGAACTTGAGTTGGATCTCCAGAATTCATGTAAAAAAAAAATCTGTAATCCTAGTGATGGCAAGATGGGGATTGAAGACAGATGATCCATGTGCTGGCCAGACAGACTAGTCTACTTAGTGAGCTCCAGGCTAGTGAAAGACTTTGTTTCAAGAAGCTTGATGGCAAGTCCTTGACCAATGATGCCTAAAGTTGCCCTCTGTACTCTGTGTACATGTGCACATTTATATAAATTTCCTCAATCCTCACCTAAATAAGAGGGAGAGAAAAAGAGATAGATGATAGATATGTAGATAGATAATAGATAGATGATAGATAAAATGTAGATAGATAGAGAGATGATATGTAGATAGATAGATAGATAGATGACAGACAGACAATGGGTAGGTAGGTAGGTAGGTAGACAGGCAGACAGATAACGAGCTGAGTGCTGCTATTTTCCCTTCTCTTTTTCTAGACCCATCAAGATGTGAGCAAGCAGCCTCACATTCCTGCTGCCACAGCCCACAGCCCCCTCTGCCACCATGCTTTCTTCACTTCACGATGAACTGAGAGCCAAAGCTAAGCTCCTTGATCATACGTAGGCGACTGCAACTGCTGTGAGTCTGTGAGTTCAACAGTCGGGTTATAGCCAGGAGACTGCATTGCTCAGCTCTCCTCCCATCCTCTGGCTCTTACATTCTTTCTGCCTCCTCTACTTGGGAGCGAGTAGACACACACGTTTACACTGTGTATGTGTGATGGTTACACTTGTGATCCCCCTTGTAATGCCAGTGCTGAAGAGGTGGGGATAGAAGATCCCCAGATCTCAATATCCAGGCAGCCTAGCCTACTGGGTGAGCTCCAGGCCAGCGAGAGACCCCGTCTCAAAAGCAAGGTGAATAGTATCTGAGGAATGAAACCCAAAGTTGACCTCTGGCCTCCACAGGCACTCATTCAAAAATGCATAGACACACACACACACACAGACACACACACACACACACACACACACACACAGATGCTAATGAAGCCAATGTCCTGGTCAATTAGTTTTCCGTGCCCACCCAGGACATTAGCCCTGTCCTGGCATAAGGGTGGGATCTGAGGGCTACTGCTATGACTTGAATCTGAAATTTCTCCCACACACTTGGTTCCCAGCACCCACACCAGACAGCTCACAGACATCGTAACTCCAGCGGAATCTGTCACCCTCTTCTGGTCTCTGAGGGTGGTTGCACACACATTCACAAATACGTGCGCTCACACATGTGCACATAAATTTTAAAAAATATTTTTAAAAAAACTTAGGCTCAAGAAAAAAGTGGATCTTGGTCTCACTCAAATTATTAATCAGATAAAAATGGGATTCTTAATGAGCTTGCAACAGACACTTCAGAGCAAACAGGCACTCGGAGTGGCCAGGAACTGCTTCCACCTTGTTGATAAACACATGCTGCAAGACAGGAAATTATCCTCCGAGGTGCCTATTTTATCTCTGTTTAATTGCTGCTTGATAATAAATTACAACACAGAGTCCATTAATTAAGCTAACAATGTCCGTGGAACACCCATCTTTTCTTCTGGGAGTTGCCCGGCTCTGGAAACATGATTCCATCTCTGCCCATAGTATTTACAGAGCAATTTAAAAAGATGCCAATGTGCCTGGTGGGGAAAGGGGACTCCTGGATCAGGGAACAGCTTTGGGAAGGGGAGGGAGAACTGTGACGGGATAGCAGAGGCACAGCCTGGCGGGCAGCTGGAGAGCATGCCGAACACACACCCGGAGCTTGCAGTAGGAACTGCAAACACCGTCAGAGCAGCCAGTGCTCTTAGGGGAAGCTCACCCTTGAGTTGGGAGTGGTGAGGGCAATGAGAGGCCTACGTGCCATTCTGCAATCAGGTGAATGGCAGGGGCATCATGTCCACAGTGGGAGGCATGAAAGAGGAATTCTGGTTACTACCGGACAGAAGCCCTGGTGCTCTGAGTGTCATCAACTTCCACCAGAAGAGAAGTGTGGTCCACTCCTCGGCTCCTGTGTAGGAATGGAAGGAGTGTGTGGATGCTCCTTTCAACCTGGATGTACTCTTTTCTCTTATTCTGTAGGGTGCTGTGGTATGTGCACATGTGGGCAGTTTTCCATGGACGCCAGCAGAAGGCGACAGATCTCCTGGAGCTGCAGTCGTGAGCTGCCACACATGGATGCTGGGAACCAAAGCATCATGTGCCTTTAACCACTGAGCCATCTCACCAGCTCTCTCCTTCTTCCTTTCTTTTCTTCTTTTTTGATTGGTTGGTTGGTTCGCTTTTGTCAGATTGTGTTTATAGGATCCTCCTATGTAGCCGAGGCTGGCCTCAAACTAAAAATCCCAAGTTTCCCAACTGCTGGGGTTACAGGCGTGCACCGCCATGTCTGGGTCTACTGAGGCCTTCTTTAAATTATTTTTAATTAAAATCTTATTTTTTAGTGCTGCGTATTAAACTGGGGCCTTATAGCCTGTTAGATAAATGTTCGACCACTGAATGCTCTTTCCTAGGTGTGTATGTGTGCACGTGCATGAATGTGTGCATGAGTGTATGTGTGTGTCTGTGTGTGCACACATGAGGCTAGAGGTCATCAGGCTTCCTCCTCTATCATTTTTACCTAGTGTTTTGAAGTAGGGTTTCTTTAAACCTGCAACTCAATGATTTGGCTAGACTGGCTGACTAGAAAGCCCCAGGGGCCCTCCCATCCATCTCTCTAGCCCTTACATTGCCTCTTGTCAGGCTTTGGTCAGAGCAGTGAGAAAAGTAACTAATACATCAACTTAGCACTGACTCTCCAGGTCTTCAAGAACGAGGGTAAATGCTTTTCCAGTTTGTAACTTGCCACTTGTGATTGCTGGCTGACAGAACATTTACTATGTCCACGAATGCCAAGTCTAATGGTGTTTTGGGATTATATTTCCTCCCTGTTTGAGGAGATTTCTGCTATGCCCTTAGAGCATGTGTGTGTGTGTGCGCGCGCGCGTGCACACACACACACACAAACACACACACACACACACACACACACACACACACACACCCTATTCATGCCATGTTATCAAGGGAGATTCATTTCTTCAGCCTCTACTTTCACTTTTTGGTTAATCATTTTGCCCTTTTGCAAGCTGCCTTTTGTGTTCTCTGACAACCTGAAACCTTTTCTTCTTTCTTGTTGACGGCTCTGTTCTTGTACTAGTATTTACCCACCAAAGTAATGGAGGGCTTTCAGTGTGAGCATGTAAATTGGCTTCTCAGAAGAGTCTCTGTGAGGCTTAGTAGGCATACTGGTTGGTTTTTGTCAACTTGACACAAGTTAGAGTCATCAGAGAGGAAGGAACCTCAGTTGAGGAAATGCTTCCATGAGTGATGGGTGGAGGAGGGCCCAGCTCATTGTGGGTGGTGCCATCTTTGGGCTGTTTGTCCTGGATTCTAGAAGAAAGCAGGATGAGCAAGCCAGTAAATAGCATTCCTCCAAGGCCTCTGCATCAGCTCCTGCTTCCAGGTTCTTGCCCTGATTAAGTTCCTATCCTGAACTCCTTTGGTGATGAACAGTGATGTGGAAGCATAAGTCAATTAAACCCTTTTCCCCCAACTTGCTTTTCGGTCATGGTGTTTTATTACAGTAATAGAAACCCTAACTAAGACAGTTGGCAAGAGTGCTTGCTACTCTTGAAGAAGACCCAGGTTCAATTCTAAGCACTCATGTTGTACAATAAAAATTGCCTGTAACTCCAACTTCAAGGGATCTGATGCCTTCTTTTGGCCTTCTGGCCTTGCTGGGTACTGCTTGCCCATGATGCTCATGCCCAAACATACACACAAACATATTTTTTTAAAGGATCTCTATTGTTTCTTCATGGTTACAGATAGGCATATTTTGGTTAGAATGATACAATATGGTACATCTCTGTCTGTTAGTAAATGACTCTGAAGTTTATCTTAATTTTTTTTCAATATGTAACATACACATTGTTCCTCTTGATATTCATATGAATGTGACTATATTATTTACTTGGATTACTGCCATTACAACTTGGCAAAGCAAAGTAGGAAGGAAGGAAGAATGAAAGGAAGGAAGGGTTTGTTGTGGCTCACAGTCTCAGGGTACACAGTCCATCATGGTGAGAAGGCAGGGTGGCAGGAGCATGAGGCAGCTGGTCACATGGTACCCACAGTCAGGAAGCAGAGAGAGATGGATTCGGGGGAATCAGCTCACTTTCCCCTTTTTATATAGTCCTGGATCCTAGCTCATGGGACGGTACTGCCCACATTCACAAGTGTCTTTCAAACCCAACTAATCCCTTCTAGAAATTCCCTCACAGACACGCCCAGAGGGTATTTGGTGATTCTAAATCCTGTCAAGTTGACCATCAATGTTAACTGTCACAGTTACCTTTTTAAGTGACACAACCAACCAACCAACCAACCAACCAACCAACCAACCAACCAACCAACCAACAAACAAACAAAAAACATCCAAGTTCTTTAAAACAAAAACAAAAACCCAGAATATGGAACCATGAGCAACAGAAGTTTCCAGAAGTCCCACAGGCCCCTATGGGCCATTGATTTTACTCCCATCCTGGTCAGAGCTGGGTTCCTACCTGGGGTCCCCAACCGTGACATGGGTACAGTATTGCTGTGTGGTTCTCCAGCGGCCCCTGGTCCAGGCAGACATCCTTGGCCTTATTATTACGGAGCTGCAGGAAGAGGCGAAACATGCCCATCAGAAACCACCAGGAGAGATGCAGCTCACCAGCCACCACAGTGTCCCTTGGCCGTGATCTCATTATAGAGAGGTCACACAGTCCTTCCCAAGTAAGGATCGGTGCTTGAATGTGGGAGCTCGTTATTTGAGCTTGAATGACGAAGCCCTAGAGTAGGTATCTTGGGTGGGAGCACTGTTTCTAAATCCTGGGAAGCTGGACCTTCACCCCTCATCCACTTCTGAATAAAAGAGCATGTTAGAGGACTGGATGAATAGCCTAGCAGTTAAACGTTAGCTACTCTTACTGAGGATCTGAATTCAGTTCCCAGCACCCAAGCTGCTCGGTGTTCCCTGTGTCTTTTCACAGAAATAGGAAAAATAAATAGGACATCTGGTCAATTTTTCTTTGGGGGCCATTTTTGTTATTTAAATCAGTTGTTTTCTTTAAACTGAATCATTGGACTCATTACACAAAAAGTACTATAAGATTTGTGATGTATGTATTTCCAGTTTGGCAGGCCATTTCCACGTTTGGAGTGTGGGTTGTGTTTCTTTATGAGCTCAGGTCAGTTATCTGTTTTCTCTGCTGTTCCTCCCATAGCTCTCATTCTTATAAAGCCCGTCTCCCTTGGGATATCAGATTTATCCCCAAGGCTAAATCTGGTTTCATTTCTTTATTTCATTTTGGGAGGAAGTTTTGAGACAGGAACTCAGATAGCCCAGGCTAGCCTTGATCTCACTGTGCAGCTGAGGATAACTGATAACAGATACGCACCGCAATCCCAGGTGAATGCAGAGCAGGGGAGGGAATTTAGAGCCTGCACATGTGCCGGGCAAGTACTGTGATGACTGAGCCGTCTCCCACCATGGTTTCTTTTACAAAGAGCTAAGCAATTTTCACAAGTAGGACGAACCCCTGCTCATTTTCTGATGTCTCCTTCACATTTGGTCCTTTTATTTTAAAGAAGGGAGGAAAGGGCGGCTAGCGGGAAGTGGCAATGACTCCACATGCAGCCCACTGATCTATAGACACGACACACCATGGCTCGTTGTTCCGCCCAGCATCCCCTGGGATTGGAGTAGGCACTTCAGTTTCTCTCATTTTCTTATGCACTAAGAGGTGGAAGCTGGGAGGAGCCATGTGGCTGGCAACAGCTTACGGGAATGAGAGTCTAGCAGATTACCTCAAAAGACATTTTGGTGTTGTTGCTGTCTCTTTCTTTCTTTTCTTTTTCTTTTTCTTTAAATCACTATTTATCAACAGCCTATAACAATGAGCAATAGAGGCTCTGCCCTCATCCCAGTCTCTCTCTCTCTTTTTGAGATAGGGTCATGCTATATAGTCTAAATGGGCCTGAAACTCACTATGTAGCCCATGCTGGCCTCATGAAAATCCTGCCTCAGTGTCTCTATTGCTCAGATTATAGATATGCGTGTCATATCCAGTTCCCTGCCTTTGTGTGTGTGTGTGTGTGTGTGTGTGTGTGTGTGTGTGTGTGTGTTGCTGGGGATTTAACTCAGGGACTGGAGCAGAACATGCTAAGCCAGTGCTCTACTGCTGAGCCATAGCCTCAGCTACCTGGCTCTTATGTCCAGATACCTGCTCAGAGTCTCTGTTGAATACAGCCCAGAGGCTCTCAGGGTCAAAACATCTCAAAACTATCACCATGTGGGCAGAGGAGAAAGCCACAGCCCATCCCTGCCTCCATATCCTTGCTGGTAGAGAGCCTTGGACCTCCAAGAATCCCTGAGGAAGGAAGGGAGTGAGGCCCTGTCATCCTTCAGGTGTGGTCCATCTTACCTCCCCGTACGCAATAGTATTATTGTATCTTCTCATTTCCGGGTAGACATGGTCCAAGTACCACTGGAAGTTTTTACACTTCAAACTTTTTCTCAATGCTTTTCTTTCTGAGACATCACCTATATCGATCCCTGGATTCTGCAAAGAGAGAGACAAAGGGTGTTAGTGGCATGGGGCTCTGGCCAGAGCCTGACGCAGGGGGAGTCAACTTTAGGAAGGGCATCTAGATTAGAAGCCTGGAGTGGTTTTCCCTTGTTTTTGGTTTCTCTTTGCCTGCTGCTGGGATAAAACACCCCGACCAAAAGCAGCTTGGGGAGGAAGGGGTATATCTGCTTTACAAGCCTGCCATCCATTATCATTTTCCACCCATTGGGGGAAGGCCAGCGCCAGGGCTCAGGCAGCCGGGCGCATCACATCCACAGAGCAAAGAAAACGAGTGTATCCATGCTGCCCACTGTTTCTGCTCAGCCAGCCTTCCTCATTCTTCAGGGTCCGGCCCATGAAATGGTGCTCCCCACATCCAGGGCAGGTCTTCCCTCCTCAATAACAGTCAAGACCCCCCCTACCCCACCCAGACATACCTGCCAGCCAACAACTCTCTTCTCAGATTGTGTCAAGTTGACATTTAAGACCAACCAATCCCTAGATAGCCCAGGCCAGCCTTGAACTTGCTATATGGCTGAGGACGACCTTTAACTCCCGATACTCATGCCTCCACCTCTCGAATGCTGGGATTACACCATGTGCTATCATACCTGGTTTGTGTGAAATAGAGGAAAGGATCCAGGGACTTGGGTATTCTGGGCATACAGCCTACCACCTGAGCTCCATCCCCAGCCCAGAGGCCCCTACAACCCTGCGGGTTGGCTTCTGCAGACTGACTCGCTGCATCACTTAAGCCTAGAGATCACTCACTCAGCGAAGCGCAGGAAGGAAGATGACAGAAGTCTCTAGGCAATTCTCTATCTTTGTCACCACCGGGGTTAAGGACCCCAGGACACAAGGATGTCAATAGTCTACTCTCTTTCACAGTCCCTCAGCAATTATCCAAGACAATTATTGTAGGAATTATTTGACGATGACAAGAAAATAAATGTTTTTAGCCCCCTTCCGTTGTTTTTTTTTCTTTTTTTTTTTCCCTGTGTGTGACGACGACCCTCTTTGTGGGCACTCTGCGAGGCTCATTATATGCAGAGGAGAAAATAATTTTCTGTGTGATGATGTTCTGATGAATAATTCACTCTGCTTTTATTGAAATGAACCTGTAATGGGTTGCTGTGTGATGACAGGGGGAAATAAAGTATCTGAAATATGAGCCTCAGTCTCAGCTCCAAGATGACTGTGAGTCAAAGGACGCAGGCTAGGCCGAGCAGGAGGCCGGGTGGGATTTGGGGACACTGAGGAGAGTTAAAGTTACTCTGTTAAGATTCCTTCAGTAGACAGATAAGGACTTTAAATATGCGTATGCATGTATATGCATGCGTGTGTGTGTGTGTGTGTGTTTGTAGATATGTCATGTGTGTGTTTGTGTGGTATGTATGTGATATGTGTGTATGTGTGTAGAGGTGTGTGTAGGTGTATGTATGATATATGTACATGTATACATACATATACAGGGTCAAGAGGAGAAAATTTGTTGTCTTCTCTGTCATTCTCACCTTAGGCTTTTGCTCTTGTTTTAAGACATGATTTCTCACTGTAACTGAAGCCCACTGGCCAAAATGCTTTAGGATCTGCCTATCTCCTCCCCTCAGTGCTGGGTTTCCAGGCATGAGTGGCTGTCACTGGCTTTACATAAGTGCTAGGGATTTGAACTCAGTTCCTCAATCTTTCCCACTAAGTTTTCTTACATGCTAAGAAATCTCTCCAATATACAAAGATGTTAAAGATGTTTAAATATCATACTTACTAATACTTTTAAAAAATATTCTTGGTATGATTAACTGAGGTAGTCAATCAGTGTCTGTTAGTCTGATAGCTTGTTTGAGAGAGGACCTCATACTACAGCACAGGCTGGCCTTGATCTCACATCTCACAACCTTTCCTGCCTCATCTCCTCTAGTGCTGGGAATATAGGTTTGTGTAGACTTGCTTGGCTGAAGATGCCCTCTCCTCCTCCTCCTCCTCCTCCTCCTCCTCTTCCTCCTCCTCCTCCTCCTCCTCCTCCTCTTCTCCTTCTCCTCCTCCTCCTCCTCCTTCTCCTTCTCCTTCTTCTTCTTCATCTTTTCATTTTAAAGACAGAATCTCAAATAGTTGAGGATGGTCTCAAACTGGCTGTATAGCTAGTAATGACCTTAAGCTCCTGATCCTGGTGCCTCCACCTCTCCACGGTAGGGATTACACACTTGGCTGAAATGGGCATTTATTAGAAGCATGGCAGGAAAGCACTCACAAGGATGGGCCAGTGATCTGGAACCAGCCCACCGCCTGGGCCTCACTGTTCCATGCCACCCACCTGTGATCAACAGCCACGGTCCAAAGATTCTGAACAGAAAATTCCAGAAACAAACAACTCATAAATTGGAAGTAAATTCACCAGAGTATATTGTTCTGACCATCCTACTTTATTATTAGCCATTGCTGGCAGTCTCTCACAGCGCAAGTTTATAAATAAAAGTTGGTTGTGGTCTGTATGGAGAGGGGAAGCATGGTGCCTACAGGCTGAGTGTGCTTAGTGTAGTCCAGTGCTTAGGCCAGGAACTGGCACAGGCCTGTCAGAAGCTGAGGAAGGAGGATCATAACTTGAGGCCAGTCTGGGCTGTGATGTGAGATCCTGTCAAAGCAGACAGAAGAGAGGGGCAGGGAGGGGGGAAAGAGAGGGAAAGGAAGATGAAGAAAGGAAGGAAAAAGTAATGGAAGGAATGGATGAAAAAATGTTTTAGGATCAAACATGTTTCTAGTTCAGTTCAGATTTAGGATTTGGTTCCAGGCCATGTAGGGCCCCATAGTGAGATTCTATCCCAGTGATGCACACACACACACACACACACACACACACACACACACACACACACAC